AGAACAAAAACTTTCCGAAGATAAAACTACTGCTGATGTAACACCACAGACCTCTCTTAGTTTTCCAGTTATGTCGTTCAAAAATTCTGCATCTGGATGGACTAGAATAATTTCCCTGATACAAGAAGAATTATCATGAATTAACTTTTTTCAGTTTTAGGCTAACAAAGCAGAAATGATGCAACTCAGAAATATGATGAAGTACAAAGCTCACTTTAGAGGAGTTTTCAAGGGTAGTCTGTGTCGCTCACGAATGTTGCGAGCAAGATCAATGATTGTCATCATCCTTGTAACGCTTTGCTCAATCCTCTCCTCTCTCTGTTCGAACACGAGACGAAAATAAAAATAAGCAAAAATTCAGTCAATTTATATTTTATCCTTGGATATAGAGATATAAACGGAGTATTACCATTCCTTCCTCTTGTGGAAAACTGCAGTAGTGTATGCTTTCCTCAGAGCCTTTCTTCACTTTCCGCAGATTCTGGTATAAAGTCTCAGTGAAGAAAGGTGTAAAAGGGGTCATCACTTTGCAAGAAGTAAGGAGCACCTGAAAATCCAGACACAATTATTAGTTATTACAAATGTAAAACGATTGTGACCAAGCAAACAAAATTATCACACAACTATTTACTATACATTGTATAAAGTTGAAAGAGCAGTGTGACAATCATCTTCTCCTGTACGGCCTTTTAACCTCTTCCTGTTGAATCTAACGTATATGTTAGTGAGATTGTCAAGGAACTTCAACAGATAGGGAACCACCTGAAAAGGAAAAACAAAGATGTGATAAATACCACGAGACAACGGTGACTTTTTTTCTAATGCAGTGTAAAATATTATGCCAAAAATGACATGTAAAAAGCTTACAGTGTAAAGCCGATATCCATCCATCTCCTGGCGAACAAAGTGGACAAGACTCTGCGTAGCTGAGTGAATCCATTGATCGAGAACGTTTGATGACTGTAAAGTTGCCAAATCAGTAGGAACAAAGGGCCCAGAACCCTCAATCTCAAGTCTCTTTGCATTCTGAACAAGGAACCGATATGCATTGTACCATGGAAGGAATACATCTTTGACCTAGTGGATCCACATGCAGGACAAGAATAATTCACACAAACAACAAATCTACTCAAATAAGAAGCAATAAAATTAACGACCAAGATTACTCACAACACCAAGTACTCCTTCTTTTTTGAAACGTAGTGGCTCAGCACGTACAACCGGAGAATTTACCAAGTACAATCGCACAGCATCCTGTCAAGGTTCACGCAAAGTCAGTAAGTGATGACGTGTACACGCACTGCCAAATTGTGTTAGCTATAAAAAAAAAAAAACTGACATTACAGCATCAGAGAATATATAGGGAAAACTTACAGCCCCATACTCATCTATGACTTCCAAAGGTGGTGGATAATTCCGTAGTTTCTTAGACATCTTTTTTCCATCCTCAGCAAGCACAAGACCGTTGCAAATTAGATTACTAAACGCTGGTTTCCCAAATAATGCAGTAGACAACACCATAAGAGTATAAAACCTGTTGGTACCAAACCACAAGTTAAGATATCATATTATGAATTGTCTACCTAGCAGAAAAAAGGTTGTTATGCTTTTTTTCAAAACACTTCTAGAATCACATTTTACATTATTCTAGATACTGATCACACCTTCCATAAGCCTTGACTCATTACTCATTACTTAATCAAGGATAGTTAAGATCCATACCATCTCATACAGTAAAGGGATCAAGGGAAGGAACATAAGTGATATAGCAATGACAAAACATAGAGATATTCAGTAAGAGATAATTTGTCAGAAGGGCATAAGTGATATCTCAATGTCGAATTCCCTCTCGAAAAACATATGAGAACTGAAATGTTATGGGGTCCTAGCACCTATCTTGTGTTGATTTCTTCTCAACACGAAAACCACCAATTAAAATTTGCAATATGAGACGGTCAAAGTTTAAATTTCTCTTCTCAAAGACCTCAATAGAAAGCAAAGATTTTATTTTATTTTCACCATTTAACCACTATAATATCTATTTTCCACCACACTCAAGATATGGAATTACATACCATCCACGAGTTTGATCAAGTCCTTCAGCCACAAAATCACCAGGGAAGTTATTTTCAAATAGCTCCCTGTTCTCAAATGGATAATGGATATATGCATAAGGCATTGAACCACTCTCAAACCAACAATCAAAAACCTGCAAAAAGCAAAACATAAGCACAAGTATGGGATAACACCCGAATAATCGCGGATAAGTGATAAAATGACAGATAATTGGATCCATCTTACGTCTTCCACTCGACGGAGAACACCAAACTCTTTACCACGACTAGACGGGATTGTAATATGATCAATGTTGTGGCGGTGCAGATCAAAGACCTGCAATATATATCCATTACAAAAACGAAAGAGTATCAGTCTTTTTGACATCTAAAATGCTCCAGTAAAGAAAATAGCTAAAACCCATAGTCATAAAATTGAATAAACATATTAAGACTTCTAGAAACATTCAGTCAGACATCAAACGAAATATTGAGTTATCCAACAGTTGAGGAAGTAGGAAAAAATATCTACCACAATAATTATTGCATATAGACGAAATGAGATTGTGACAGTAAACTTTCTTGAAGCATCAGTCAGCTGCCTACTGTTATGTTGCTGTTTATTTTTTCAAACAAACTATCTTCCAATAGTGCATGAAAAGTAGTTGCAGTAGAAAGACAGACAGAAACAGAACAAACAAGCGCAAAAAACAAAAGAAGAGACCTTGACACCAGAGAGCTTTTCAAGCTTTTCAACAGAATCCATGACCACAACTTCCTCCCCATCATCGCTGATCCATATTGGAAGAGGCGTACCCCAAAATCTACTTCGGCTGACTGCCCAATCCCTTGCATTTTCAAGCCAATTGTGAAAACGTTTTTCCTGAGTTGCAGGTCAACCAAGAAGAAGGTTGTTAGAATCAAATTAATTCATACCAGTACCTTATCTAAATAACTAAACTTAGTAATACATTCAAAGTATTGGTTTTTTTCCACTAACCTTCACGTAACTAGGTACCCAATGTGTCTCTTCATTATTTGTTAACAACTGTTCTTTCAACTGCTCCACGCGCACAAACCTAACAGGTCAAACACAAACAAACTTCAGAGTCCTAAAGACTTATGAAAGTGAAAAATAAGCTTCATATCATCTTTGCTCATTTCTACGGGCCATTTAGGTCAGATATTTATGACAAGAAATATAAAATAGAAAAAATGAAAACATGGGAAATCAAAATATACTAAGCAATTTGGTGATTAACTGCCAAAAAGGTATTTACAATAACATATAGAGCTCCGAAAAGACGCTGCCAGATATAATCAAATGAAAAAAATTGATCGTTAATGCCAACAAGACTGGGACAGGACGAAACCCAGAATCTCTCAAGCCAAACTCAACAAATGACCAGAGAGACAAAGTGGCTCACTAACAACTTTGACCTTAGTTCAAGCTCATTTGAAACAAGAAATATACCAGCTTGGCACTGCTCTGTAAATGAGGGGGGTGTCTGATCGCCAGCAAAATGGATATGAGTGAGTAAAGCTCCCCGATTTAACAAGCCTTCCTTTGGCCTGAAATAACAAGAAATATTATTTATCAAAAACAAGTCACCTAAAGTAAAATAATCACTAGCTCAAAATACACTTAGATCTTCTAATAGACTTGACAAATCATTGTGACTTATTACAAACATTAGGCATCAGTAATTACCTTCACGGCTTCAATTATATCCTTATCTGCATCTTTGACATAACGGCCACTGAAGTGGGTAATTCTCTCTGTAAACGACCCATCGTCATCAACAGCCACGACAAGGCCCTCACCCTGCAAGGGAGGATAAAAACATTAGAAAAATTAACATAATGAGATAAAGCGAGATTAGTAGAGTAAGACAGGCATGGGTTCTTAAAGATAATGTAAGCCTAAATAGGAGAGAAAGAAACTACAAATGAACATCTCTTCCTAAACAACAAATCATACAGTTACAGTGTAATCCCTTAAACCTCCTACGAACCCCAGGAATTACAAAACCCAAATCCAAGATCAACTAAACCCCAACTGAATGAGATTACGTGATATCTTCTGTCATGTGATCAGAGATTGAAACCAAGAAAAAGAATCTGAATAACCACGAAAATAGGGGTGATAAGGAGAATGTAGTCAAATCTAACCTTTTTAATTATCGCGTTCTGGAGACAAACACGATAATCATCTTCACCAAAGGCAGGTGCACAGTGGACAATACCAGTACCACTGCTATCAGTGACATAATCATCTGCTACTACTCGAAAGGCCTCACTAGCGAAATCGTTAAAGTACTCAAACAAAGGTTCATACTTCTTCCCAACCAGGGAATCTCCCTTAAATTTTTCCAAAACTTCATAAGAATCAGCTGCACTGTCAGGTTTAGCACCTTTAGCTTTAGGGTTTGCTTTCTTGGCATCACCACTTAAGTTGGCCTTAGGCTTATCAGCAGGAAGAGCTGACAACCGAGATTCAGCAACCACATAGACTTTTCCGTTGCTCTTGCTACGAACCTTCAAATAGACCATCTTTGCATTAACACACAAAGCAAGATTGCTTGGAAGTGTCCACGGAGTAGTAGTCCAGGCCACAAAAGCCGCATTATCTTGATCGCCAATAATCGGAAACGTCACATAGATTTCGGGATCAGGAACTTCCTGCACACCCATTCTACCAAATGTCAAAGATCAAGTCATACAGCAATTTAACATCCGAGTAAAACCAGATTACAAACCTTGTAGTTCTCACCAGCTTCAAAGTTAGATAATGGAGTCTTACAACCAGTACTATACGGCATAACCTACAAAACGAAAATCGAGTCAAAGATAAATCAATTTCACCAGATTTCAAAACCAGAGAAATAGAAAGAGAAGAGAAGCCAAACCTTGAAGCCTTTGTAAACAAGATTCTTCTCAAAAAGCTGAGCAAAAACCCACCACACACTTTCCATATAAGTCAAATCCATAGTCTTATAGTCATTACTGAAATCAATCCAACGACCAGTCCTTGTAATCACTTTCTCCCACTCAGTCACATACCGAGTCACAATACTTCTACACTCTTCATTATACTTATCAATCCCCATCTGAATCACTTGATCTCTCCTCTTAATATCCAACTTCCGATCAATCTCGTTCTCCACTGGAAGACCATGACAGTCCCATCCGAACCGACGAGTTACGTGGTGACCAGTCATGGATTGGTACCTTGTAACGATGTCTTTAATCGTACCGGCGAGGATGTGACCGTAGTGAGGAAGTCCGGTGGCGAAAGGAGGACCGTCGTAGAAGATATACTCCGGGAGATTCTCAGTTCGTTTGAGCTGAGTCTTGAAGGCATCGATTTGGGACCAGAAGGAGAGGACATTTTCTTCTTGACGAGGGAATGAGAATTCCTTTCCTTCGCAGACTTCTTCCATGGCGGAAACAGAGAGATTAGGGCTTTTACGTTTACAGAGAGATTTACTTCAACGCATATAGAAAACGGCGGAGAGGAAAGCTTTTCTTTTCTTCGGTTTTTCTTTCTCCCTTTTACTGGGCCGGAATTTAGCTTTTTCATATATAGTAAGCCCATTAAAATAACGGATCTAGTATAAAACCTTTTTTTACAATACATATTTTGTTTTTCTTAGTCAACTTCAAAACTTAAAAGTATACAGTAATTTCATTTTGGCAACAAGTAACAACAAAATTATTAGAATCAAACGCATTTAATGGTCAATTTATAACTTTTTTACGTAACCAGATGCATTGCAAAGGAATTGTTCGATGAGACAGTTTCGATTGGTTATCACGTTTAAACAAAACGTGGTTAAAACATTTTCGAATGGTTGTGAGAAAAATCGTTAAAAAAAGGTTAGTTTAAATGATGGAATAGAAAAAGCTGTTGAATTGAAACGAGAGGTCAAAAAACAATTATAACTAGTTACAAGTGGTC